ACTACAGGTGCACACCACCACACCTGGCTGATTTTTTTATTTATTGTAGAGATGAGGTCTCGCCAAGCTGCCCGGGCTGGTATCGAACCCCTGGGCTCAGGCAATCCTCTCACCTCTACCTCCCAAAGTTCTGGGATGACAGGCACGAGCCACTGCGTCTGGCTGTTTGGGTTTCCTAAGCCACTTCCACTTATTTCTGAAAGTTTGCCAGGAGGTCCAAGCTCCAGGCTCCAGCTGGCTCGCTTCCAGTGAGGGATCTCTTCCTGGCTGGCAAATGGCCACCTCCTTGCTGCATCCTCCCATGGGCAGGAGGCATCGTCTCTCCAGTGCCCCTCTCCTGCCAGTGCCCTGATCCCTCCCGGTGGGCTCTAGCCTCCAGAAGTCCCCCCTCCAAGTGCCATCCATGGGGGCTGGGCTTCCATATATCAACATCGAGGGAACACACATATGCAGCCTCGGTCAGCTTCTGGCCCTGCAGCTGTGAGAATCGATGTCTGTTATTTCAAGCACTCGGTGGAAACAATGTGGGTCTGAGGCCTGGATGACACGGAAAAGCCACTTGTAGCCCGAGCTACGCTGACAGGAGGCTGCAGAGCAGAGAGCTGTGCCCAGGGCCCCAGGGCGAAGAGCCCTGTCCTCAAACAGATGTCAGATCAGAGTCACCATGCACTGAAAGACACACGTAGCCAGGCATTGCTAGTGGCTAGTGGTGGCTGCCGGGTGGCAGGGGGCAGGTGTCCAGGGGCAGGGGGTAGGGAGCAGCTTGGCAGGGGTGTCATGGCAACAAGAGAAAGGGGCTGAGTGCCAGCCCACAAGGTAGCAGGAAACCACTGCAGGCCAGCAGGGAGAACATGAGGACCACAGGACCCAGGTCACCAAGCCCCACCCCCCTGCTCCTCCCGCCTGTTCCAGATCCTACGGGCGGCCTCCTTGAAGACCTGGGTCCTCACCCACCCTGTTGTGGGCGGTGTGGCTCGGAGGTCCTGGGTGGCCTGTGGGAGCACGCACTGCAGGGCAGGGAGACCACAGGGCCAGAGCTGGGGCTCATGGCTTCCAACCCAGCCTCCCCGTGGCTCGAGGGCTCTTTCCAGCCACCGTGTCTGCCTGGCCTCCAGGGAACAGTCCAAAGAGTAGCTGGGAACCCACTAGATGGGCTAGGAAGATCTCAAGGGCCAGCAATGGGACCAGCATGTCGCAAGGTTAACGGTTCTAACAGAGACCCACGACGGTCCGTGGCTTCAGGAAGGTTCTGTCTCCCTCCTGACCATCCACAGTGGGTGAGGGCCACCTGCCAGCATCCCAGGTCTGACAACTTTCTCCCATCAGGGCAGTGTCCATCCGTCACGGTCAAAGCCAGGTCCCAGGCCTGCCGTTCCTCTGACTCGTGAGAAAGGGAAGGAGGCGGAGGAGGGGCCCCACCGCCTTCCAGCCCAGCCCCCACGCGAAGGCCACGTCCCTCTCACCCATTTCCACGGCCAGAGCGTGGTCACAGCTGAGTCTGCCTGCCAGAGAGTCTGGGTACCAACTTTGGTCACATGCCTGGTGGAGCAGGACGGGAGGCAGCTCAGGTGAGACGGGCATGACTGCTGCTCTGTGCAGCAGTGCAGAGGCCACAGGTGAGAGGCCTGGCACACACAGCAGGTGTTCACTTAAAGTGCTCAGCACCTCTGAGCTCAGCGTGGGACCTTGGGGACTCCCTGGCCCAGTGTCCTCATCCCTTGCCACTGAAGACACCGGCCCAGAGGCGAGGGGCATGGCCTGGGTGCCCCGTGGGGGGCGGGCAAGCTCAGCTCCAAGTCCTGTCTAGGTCCCAGGTTCCCCCAAGCACTCTCATCCCAAAGCACCCAGTCCAGCCCCAGGGGGCCTGGGCCGAGAGCAGCCCCAGACGGCCTCCCCCGGGACCTGGGCCGGGGGACACCCTCCTGAGAGACCTTGCCACCAGGCCCGGCTTTATGACCAGGTAGGTGTGGCCCTGTTTCCACAACAGAGGGCCGCGCCCAACTGGGAGGGGCAGGGCTGGTGCAGCTGGCCACGAGCAGCAGGTGGTGAGGAGGATGGGGAGCCTGGCCCTCTTCCTCCCCGCGGGCTTTCTCCTCCTCCTCCTCGCAGGCACCGAGGCCTGGGGCCACCATGGCGTGGTGCACGTGGTGTCCGGCAACTGGAGCAGGGACTACTGCGTCCTGCTCGGCCCCGACGACGTGACCCTGCCCCGCGACCTGCGCCACGCCCCGCTCCTGCCCCTGCACGATGGCACCTCGGCGTCCTGGTGCCCAGGCAAGGGCTCTTCCCACCAGGCCGGGCCCGGCGCCCCTAGCCAGCGGCCTCTCCGCCGGACCATGGCCATGGCCACACAGAGCAGCTGCAGCCTCCGCGCTCAAGGCCAGCTGGCCCAGGGATGGGGTGCCCACGGGCTGCTCATCGTGGGCCACGCCAGCGACCAGCCGTGCTCAGACGCCAGCCCGGCGACCCAGCACCCCCGTGGATCCCCGTCAGGCCTCCACATCCCAGTGGCCATGCTCCGCCACGCCGACCTGCAAGACATCCTGCGCCACACCCGCGGGCTCATCCGCGTGGCCATGTACGCGCCCCCGGAGCCCACCATGGACTACAACCTGCTGGTCCTCTTCATCCTGGCGGTGGGCACCGTGGCCGCAGGCGGGTACTGGGCCGGCCTGTCTGAGGCCCGGCAGCTGCAGCGGCCGCGGGCTCGGGGAGGAGGGGGAGCTCCTGGTGGTCTCCAGCAGCCAGAAGCAGAGGCCCAGGAGGGAGAGGGGGAGGACGAGGACACACCTGTGGACTTCATGCTGGCCATGGTGAGCGCAGTGATCACCCTGTCCTGTGTCACAGCGCTGCTGTACTTCTCCAACGACTGCTTCGTCTATGCCACCGTTGGGCTCTTTGGCCTGGGTGCGGGCGTGGCCGGCGTCGGCCTGTACAGCTGCCTGGCGCCCCTGGTGCGCCGCCCGCCTCCATGGCCACGGCCGAGGCCCCTACACCGCCGCTCGAGCCTCATGCAGTGGCCCCCGTGGCTGCTGGCCGGCCTGTGCACCCTGGTGGCCCTGCTCTGGGTGGCCTGCTGCCATGAGGAGTCCTGGGCGGGGCTGCGGCAGGACGGACTGGGCCTGGCCTGCTTCCTGCTGGTGTGGCTGACGGCGCTCAGGGACGGCGCCTGCTT